CTTGCTTCCTTGTTTGGTTTCGTCTCTGCAACGAAAACAACAGGAAAAGCAAATACAAAAAGAGAAAGGAGAACAGCTGCCAAAAGAAAGAAAGAAAGATAGATAGATAAATAGATAGGTATAGACAGATAGATGGATAGGCCAAAAAGCCAAAAGCCACAAAAGCCAAAAGCCACAGAAGCCACGAAAGCCAAAAGCCACAAAAGCCAGAAGCCACAGAAGCCAAAAGCCACAAAAGCCAGAAGCCACAGAAGCCAGAAGCCAGAGCCACGAAAAACAAAAAAACATCCAAAAAAGGGTTAGAGGCCATCGCTACTAGGTTGGAGGCCATCGCTAGTAGGTTGGAGGCCATCGCTACTGTAGTAGGTTGAAGGCCATCGTTAGTAGGAGGCCATAGCTACTAGTTCGGAGGTCATCGCTAGTAGGTTGGAGGCCATAGCTACTAGGTTGGAGGCCATCGCTAGTAGGTTGGAGGCCATCGCTACTGTAGTAGGTTGAAGGCCATCGTTAGCAGGTTTGAGGCCATCGCTACTAATTCGGAGGCCATCGCTAGTAGGTTGGAGGAGGTTGGAGGCCATCGCTAGTAGGTTGGCCTCCAAGACAAAGCCACTACAACCGTGATTTGGCTGGCTTCCAAAGCCCACTTCGGCGAGAGACCCATCTCTTTGACTTCGGTGCTTTCCAGGTTGTGGCTTCGGCTTCGGTTGAGGTGGGATGAAATTCGCAAATGGCTGATCATCCTGCGGTGGTCATGAGTGATGGAGTGTTACACAGAACTCCACATCTTGCAAGGAGAGCAAGTTGTGTCCCAACCAGTCCACGGTCGCAAGGGCATTCTTGCTGGATGCTGGATGTCCTGTTGCACGTTTGGTGGCGGAGCTCTTGTCTGACTTCACCTCCGAATGCCCCAAGGTCTTGGATGTGTGGGTTGATGACATCAGTGTGGAGTTCACGGGCTGCCTCCACCTCCTCCTGGCTCCACTGAAATCTCCACTAAAATGCAGCCCCAAGTCTTTGATCAGGTCATTCACATGAGGACGGTCAGGTCATCTGTTCGACGTTGCGGCAAGCACCCCCGAACCCCAGCAAACGAAGCAAGGCACCCAGCCCCATCAACCGAGACATCCAGTCCTGCAGTGTCAAGTCTTTGGTGCTCACGTTAAATCACGTTCGGTCAGGTCCGTGGCAGTCCATGGGCTGCGTTTTGCTGCATCGGTCGGCATTCGATTCCTGTGAAGGGCACCCCGCCAGCACTACCGCCGCCTTAATGGAGAGTTAAAAAGCATCTATATTAAAGCGAGCGAGAGACAAAGAGAGAGAGAGAGAGAGAAGGGGGGAGAGGAACGATCCCTGCGAGCGTGAAGGAAGATGTGAAGTTTCAAGTTGGAAGATATTCTACAACCTTTTCTTCTGAAGAACCCTTCTTCTCAGGGCCGCCGGCTCCTCGAGCTCCATCTTTGGCAAAGGATTCACAAGCTGCGCAGCTGCAAGTTGAGCCAGCTTCAGTGGTGTTAGCTCGCCATTTGTGGCCAAGGCCTTGGCAGTAGCAGCGAAGCGCTCACCCACTGCCTCGGAGTGGGCCGACAGCAGCTGCGCAACCGCCCCAATGCGCTCCTCTGCAGATGGAGGTTGGCTGCTTTCACCGGACGCAGTGGCCAACAACGAAAAGAAAAAAACAACCATTGTGCATAAGAGTAAGTGTTGCAGAAAGCTCGCCTTAGCCGTGGAGCCGTCCAAGGAGATGTTGGGTGCTATTTCCTCCAGCATTTCCGGCTTGGCCTCTGCACTGTTTGCCTCTTGCTTCGCCTCTGTACCTTGGGCCTGACATGGCGCTTTCACCAATGTCTCCCGCAAAGCACCAAAATTATCCAAACCTCATGTGGTGGCCTGAGCCTGCTTGCAACCAACCCACGAACACCTGCACAACACTCATATGTCAGTGGCAATCAATGGCACTCTAGACTGTGGACCACATTGCACAACTTTGCTATTGGTGTCTATTCATGCGAGCGGTGCAACTTGGTACAGCAACAAGAAAAAGTAAGGACCATTCACAATCCTAAGCTCAAAACTGCTTGATATCAGAAGTGGGTTCGTCCTTGCAACTGCCCCCATTGGCCTTGGGCTCAAGATGATGAGCTGCGCGCATCGTCAATGCATCTCGCTGGGGGATGATGACACCAATCGTAGCTTCAAATACCATCAAATACCTTTAGTTCATGAGCCTAACAATCAAACCTGGCCCACGAATTCACAACTACTGTACACCCACATTCAGTTGCCAGCAGCTCAGTTGCCACACACCAGCTGAGGAACTCACTGCCTCGCTTTCCTTGTGCCGGGTTCTCTCACCTGAGGTGATTGTTTTTTTGGCCACAGTAAGCGACCCTTGAAGTGCAGCTGCATGTGCTGACACCGTAAGGGAAGGGCTGACTCCAGTTTCGGTACATTCTTCCCCTCCACGGCATTCGCTCCTTACTGATCATTACATATGAGGGCGCACAAACACACACACATCACACATATGTTTAACACAAAAAATCACAGCCAATAAGAAAATGCAAGTGGTGCAAAGGAAGACCCTTTGCATCATACCATGTCCGGCGTTCCATGTGAACAAAAAAATATTCATCGACCCAAGCGCGCCCCAACTCTTTTTCAATCGGTTAATGTTGGAACCCAGGGCGCACCAAACACATCCAATTCCACCCGAGTGTGATTTCCTCTTTCCTCTCCCTCTCCTCTCCCTCTTTCTCCTTCTTTCCCCTCTCTCTCTCTCTCTCTTTCTCTCTCTTTCTCCTTCTTTCGCCTCTCTCTCTCTCTCTTTTTTTTGCTCGGTTCTTTTCCACTGCAATCACGAGGCCGCGCCACAAGGCAAAAGCGGCAGGGTCAAGGCCCATTCTCCTTGGAACCCTCTGTACCATCTAGCTTTCAGAGCTAGGGCCAAAGCGAAGCTTGCTCTGCGTCGACGCTCCAGCACAGGCGCCTGCCATCCAACTTTGAACTCTGCCATTGATGATCTTGGTGACACGGTGGCACCTTTGGCACTCAAGCCAGCTTCCCCTCTGCCACAAGCTGTGTTGAGGGTTGATCTTGGTGCGGACCTCCAAGTCCTGCGTATCAACCGGACCATAAACACAGGGCTGTTCACTAAGCTTTTGAAGCGCCTCTTTGCTGCATCGACCAGGCACTTTCTGCCAACAGCGAGAGCAGCCAAATGAACTTGGCCGGCTAAACCATCTGTGCCCTTCCTGGCTGTCAGCTAATGCCTCTGTGGTGGCAATCATGGCATTCTTGATCTGGGTGAGGGTGCGACACATCTCCCCAGGGCACGCGGTGGCCTGCTTGCTGGTGATCTCAGCATACGTGGAGCACCCTTTGATGCGAAGACCACATTGCTGGCATTTAACGCCATGCCCTTGCACAGCCCACTGATGCTGGCCAGCTTGGTGCTCCTGCTGGGTCATCTGGCGGAGGATATCAAGTCAGGCCTGACCTGAAAAGGAGTTGGCACAGGATCAAGCTTGCCATGCATGTAGTGATCAGGGTCAGTGAGGAGCTGACTGATTGTTTGGGCCGCTACTTCATAGATCTCCCACAATGAGCGCAACCACATAGCGCCGCAACCTTGGATCCTTGCTGGTGGGTTTGACTCCAATTGCAAGCCGTTGACTGGGAGTGACGCGCACTGGCCATCCATGTGCAAACACGCCATGGACTTCCAGGGAGTCCATGCCAACTGTCAGCCTGTAGTCAGGCACTTCAACGAGGCCCCTCGACCACAACATAGTATTCTCATTGGCCTGAATGTTCTGAGCCCAGTCGGCAGGCAGAGGCTTGTCATGGTACTGACACTCCCAGATCAGGTGTTTCATGGTCACAGGGACATTGCGCAACGGGCACAAGACCCGTTCTCCAGCTGTATGCGTGCGCAATGAGCCTTGGGTCCAAGCATCAACTGCAGTTCTAGCCACCCCTTTGAGCTTGCGCATCACACGATGGTAGACAGTCCAATCAGGCTTTCGCATCAGTGGAAAACAATGCTCAAGCTCCTGAATTCGTCTGGCTCGTTGAAGACGTTGCTCAGCCTGGAGCTGCCTTTGCAGATGCGGCCACGGACGCTCAATGTTCAGCTGGTGCGGTGGCATAATCCCAGTGGGTGCACGAAGGCAGTCTTCCAGATCTTCTGCGTCCCAGCCCATATCCATGAGGTAGGCTTGAAGAGCTGCCATAGGCCCAGCAACAACCATCCAAGGGGAAGCTGCAGCCCTCAACCGGTGCCAGGAGATGCGCCATGACCGTCTTGAGGTCACCTCGTTGAGCCTGTGGCCAGGCCTGGACAAGCTGATGCATGGCTTTCAGTTGACGTTCAACAATAGTATCTTTGGGATCTTGCAGCTTGGCACGCTGATCGAACACGATGTCCACACTGCCACCCTTTTTGGAGCCCTCCATGTCTGGCCAGTTGATGGCGCAAAGTTCGAAGGCGCTGGGGTGCAATCCCTTGGGCTTCCAGCCCATAGCCAGCTGCTGCATGCACTGATGTCTTCCAAATGCGGACCCTGACTGGCCTGGATCGCAGCTTTAAATGGAGCAGCTTAGATTGTCTGCCCCGACCTTTGAGGAGGCGTTTTTGCTGTGCCCCGGCCACCACTAGAATCTAAACCAAGATCCTTCAAGAGGTCGTGGACCATAGGCTGTTCATCCCGCCGGAAAAGGCTCAATGCCCGCTTGCATCAACTGACGAGGACAGGAAGCCTGTCTTGCTGCTGGCAAGTTGCAATCCAATGCCTTCCAGTCCCTCCTTTAGTTGCTCATACCCATCAAGGGCTTCCCTGCTCACAACATTTGCATCGTTGCCAGTGAAGTCCACCGATATGTCATCAACCCACACATCAACAGAAGCCCTGGAAAAGTTCTCAGTGAACTGGCCAATGACTGGGGCCACCAAAACAAGTTTGGCAATGAGCGGAGCAACAGGGCAGCCTGCCAAAATGCCCTTCTGACAATGGACCGGTCGAGATGTGACTTGTTCCGCCTGCAGCATCCGAGGTCCAGTGTACACTTCATAGACAGCATTGAGGATTGCTGGTGGGAAATTGAGTGGTTCCCAGAGGCCAAGCAGCTGTTCCAATTCAACAGAATCGTAAAAGCACTGCAAATCCACAAGCAGGGACACCACATGCCGCCCTGTCGCACGGCCGACCTCACATTTGAGCAGGCGCATCAGAGCAACGTAGAGCAGCTGTATGCCCGGCATGCTGCGTTCCCAAGGCAGCCTCCAATGCTTGAGCTTGTCCCATCGAAGTTTGCACCAAGTACGATACAGGACACTTGTCAAGCTGATGGGACGTTCAATGTCCTCCTTTTTGGGGAATAAGACCACCAAAGTTGTGCAAACTTGGTCAGGCAAACGTCCAGACAACTCCCACTGCCGATACATATTGCATAAGGCAGTCACACCTTCCAGCGGCAAGTTCTTGAGGAGGGCATAGCTAATGCCGCCTGGTCCACTGGCCTTTTGTGGCAGTTTGCTCAACTTTGTCATGGCCAGGTGCGGGTCAAGATCCTCCCATAATCTGGCTTGGACAATGCCTTCCCAGCGCAAACGTTCACGTTCCCCAGAGGCTTTCGGCTGCTCAATGACCTGCCATCTTGTATACCATTGCTGCTCCCTCAACTGTTGTCTATCTTGGACCGGTACGTTGCGAAAGGGTCTGACATGCACCACATCTGGTGCCTTGAGGCACTTGTAGATACCACTGTGGCCTTTCAAAGCAGCTTGAGACAGCCAAGCTTGATCTGTCCTTTGCCTTCTGGCGTTACATGGCTCTCCAAGGTTGGATGGCCGGAAGGATGAGTCGAAGGTGGCTGCAATATCAAGGCGCTTGCCTCAATGGGTTTGGGATCGCCGTTCACCTCCTGGGGCGCACCATCCATGGCCGCCGTAGCCACATCACTGCCTGCCACATCATTGATAATCCTGGGATTGCTGTTGCAGGGCTTCTTCTTGGCAAAGTCATGGTTTGCCTCCGCACCACGCATGAGAATGCTGAGGGGCATAGATTCACCGGACACCAAGTCCTCCAGTGCGGCCCTGAAAGCTGCATCCCCATGGATGTTCTGCCATCTCATTTCTAAGTCAGCAGCCTTGGCCCTCAAGTGCAGCATGACATTGTGGCTCACATGCCCTTTCTGCTCAATGTGAGACAGCAGGGAACAGAACTGGCCCGAATAAGAGTTTGTTCAAGGGCTTGAATTCCAGAGCCAGGTACCAGCCACGTCCATAGCGGGGCGCATGGCACCACTCACCACATTGAAGCTCCTTGGGTCCCAGAGGTCTGCCCAACCAATAGGGCTTGGGTGCAGCTTGAACGTCTTCCCATTGCTGACTAGTGTGCTGAAGCTTGGGTACAGCTGCATATTGGGTGACTTGTGGCAGGTGAAGCTTCGGCGCCGAACTGTCAATGGCAACCACAAGACCCGCATGAGGCTTCCACAGCACATCCCACTTGACCTTGATGTCCAGAAACGGGGTCAAACTGCGGCTGGCCAATACATAATCAATTTCCGCTCCAGTGATCATCGTGGGCTGTCCTGTGTGGACCACTTTAGCTTTCAATACGTTCAACAACTGGTGTCCATGCCACTGTTCTGGAGGCACCTGAAAATCTCCGACAACCAGCCAGGGAACAGCCAACTCACCAAGGAAGGCTGCAAGCGCCCCAAGCACGGTGGCATTGGCATTGGAGTTCAAATCCTCACCACACTTGAGGTAAATGGAAATGAGGACCACTTCCCAGTTCTGGCGCTGCAGCACATTTGCCAAGAAGCCATTACCAGCCAGGTCAAAATGGTGAATCTTGTAGCTGCTTGACCCTCTCTGCTGCAGAAGAAGTGGCTGCCACTGGTGCCTCCACGGCCTGTCTCATAGGCCTCCAGGGTTTCGACCTTCCTTTGCTTCTGGCCAGTTCATGGGCCGCGGTCTCAAGCTTCTTGCCGGTGACATGAGTCTCCACCAGAAGGGCAAGTTGGAGGTCTTGTTGAAGCAACCAGTCTTTGGCATCCCTGTTCCACTGCGTAACATTGCCATAGAAAACTTCAACGCTGTCTCCACCGGTGCGTGACCGCTTTGCAGGTGGGTCAAAACGTCCAACAGTGTGAGTCCAGAAAGTGCTGTGCTCTTCGTGACTGCTCCGCGCTGGATGTGCTCCGGCACATGATTCACCATCATCAACTACCCAAACTGCATCTCCTGCAGCCAGCATGGCAACATAATGGCCAGAAATCAACTCAGCACCTTGATGGGCAACGATGCCACGAAGGACGAAGGTGGAATGCCCAACATGCCCAGTCAAAGTCTTCTGTGGGCATCGAAAGCTGGATGGTGTATGCAGCTTGTGGTGATGTTTGGCCCATTCTTTGGCCCCTGCATCCAAGGAGTAGCGCCCGGCATGGAAAACAATGTATTCCACATCACTCCCTAGGCACTGGCCATTACCTTCATTGGCCCACTCCTCCAGGAGTTGCTTCAAAATTGACATCATCTCCAGCTTCAACTGGCATCCGGATAAAGAGGGGAATGGTGTCAAATTCATGCTCCCGTCCTCCGAAATGGGCACACCAATTGCCCTGCAGCCCAGTCTGTCCCCATAGTTCCCACAAATGAACAAGAAACTCACTGGCATCATGCTGTTGCTGGGGTTGATCCAATCTTGCAAGGGCCGGTTGGAGCTCAGACGCCCAGAAAATGTCCTCAATGACATCTTGCTGCAGAATCTGGAGTCTGGAGGCATAGCTTCGTCGAGGGCCCCCAGAATTCCTTGGGGCTGGAATGATGTGCCCCTATCCAGCACCACATACGAAGCACTGTGTTGGCATAACATCTGTTACCTTTGTTGCCAATGCTGAGGGTGAGGTTGGCCGCCAATAATTCATTGGCTGGTGGCACTTCAGGCTCTGAATCAACCAGTCGTGTCAGCGGGAGGTTGCTATGAAAGGCAAGGCGCATCCTCAAGACATGTTTCAAGGCCTCTAGGCCCCATACACGGGTTTCTACTTTGCCAAAACCCATGTCATCTCTGCATTCAGCCGGCAAGGCTTGAATGGCTTCCATCGCCCGTTGTTGAAGGACCACCAAGCGGTCTTGTAAAAGGCCCGGAGTGAGCTGCTCTTCCCCTGAGGCATGGGCAGCATCAAGGACCTCATCAGAGGTGAAGTCGAGGCCCCTTTTTCCTCCACCAAGGAGTGCACACTGTCCTACAGCAGGCCTGGGTGACCCCAGCCGCTCGGAGCATGAAGAACTAGGTGCCCAGTGCCCTCCCAGCTGCTGACATTGCAGTGTGCTCTGTGCGGTCATAGCTTCTTGTGCTCCTAGCTTTGTACAAGACTCCCGCTCCTCATCCACTGCAATTGTGTTCATAATTGTAGTGTTGAGAAGGGCATGCTCACTGCCATTGCCCTCGGACACATCCGACATGGAATGCCCTGGCTCTAAAGCAAGTGAGATGTCTTGATCAACACCCAAATCAATAGCATGCATGTGCTCTTCGTGACTCTGCATATATGGCATAACTCACGCTACCCACATACGGCTGCATGCTGCCAAGCCAACATTGAGAGTCCGCATGAGCATGTGCACAAAGCTCACAATCAAAAGGATCACAATCACAACTGCCCACAGCTGAACCCCAATCACAATGAGCAATTGCACCCCGTCTCCATACTGTCAAACATTCCCTGTTGTTTGACTCATCCCCACAACCATTCAAATCTTCAACCCATCTATCCAGCCAACAGGACCCCATCACTGTTGTGCCAGCTCTCCCATTTTTTCCGCAATCACAATGTCCACCATGAGTGTTACCCACTCGTTGGGAATTCACCAGTCTTTCGGCGCTTGGCCAAAGTCTCGGCTAAGTTGCGCTCGGGCTCCTTTTGCTGCTCCGTCGTGAAAATGATGCCAGCCTGACCCATTGCCTTCATAACATGCTCTGTTGTGTCCGGGTCCAGCACATGCTCCTTGTCATCCGGAGTGCCAGGAAGTGCCTCCTCCTTCAACTGCTTGGCATACGCTTCTGACTGATTCCCCAACTGCTTGTGCTCACGATCAATGGCTGCTTGGACACCTTTGAGCTCATCAAGCAGCACTGCACCTTGTATTGCTCCTTTGCATTGTCTACCTTCTTTTGCAATGACTGCTTTCGCTGGGACAATTGTCGAAGCTCTCCAACTGTGGCCTTGAGCTGTCCCGTGACATCCACCTGAGCAATTTGAGGCGGTTGGAGCAAGCCTTCCACAGCAGTCCTGACTTCAGAGGGCAATGCTTCAAGGTTGGCCTTCAAGACCTCTTCCAAAGGCTGCAACTCAGGTTCCGGGGTGTAGTCAATGCCTACGGCTTTGAGGGCGTCCTGCACATCCTTAGTGAGGGTGCTCCACCCTTTCTTGAGGGCCATCTCCACCACTGAACCCTGCGGCCTGGAACCCAATCCAGGCGGCTTTTCCATCAAGACAGTGCGATCTCGGCGTGGGCGGTCTCGTCTGGGCCCGGGGGATCGCTGCTTGGCCGGGATGCTCTTGGCCTGTGCGCGTGGCCACTGTGTACCACAGTGGTCACAGCACCATCTGCTGTCAGAGACTCTATCCGCCCAAATCCACGATCCTTCACACCCACCACAGACATAGTAAGGCCGCCTGGTCCTGACTTTGTTGAAGCCATCCCAAGAGGGTGCCACCATGATGCAACCAGCTTGTAGGGCTCTTGGATCGCACCAGCAAAGGCACGGCCACCCTTCAAATAGGAAAAGACCGGGTCACCCACAAGGTCAATGCCCCAGTGCCCTGCAACACGTCCAAGAGGTCACACCGATTTGAGCCACCTAGAACCTTGAGCCCAAATCTTGAGCCAGTCTCTCTCTCTCTCTCTCTCCTTCCTCTCTCTCTCCTGTACATCCTTGCGTCGAATAGTTACTCTACTCTAAATCTCCTATGGCGTAGATATGCCTAGATCCGGCTGTCTCATTCACGCAATTTCATTCCCCAAACGCGACCTGACAAGGCTCCACTTGCTCCACATACTCCAGGTGCAGTCACGAGGGCCCCAACCTTGAGAAACCGTTTCCAAAGCACTGGTCGCACCCCGTGGATTTCTCGGCTAGCAGGCTCAGTGGACTGCAACAAATGCCATCGCGAAAAGAAGCTTTGTGCAACTTGCAGGCGAAGTGGCCACACCAACGCCGTCGCTGGTGAAGGTTCTTTCCAGGAGTGCCCAAGTTGTTTCTTCTCCTGGCCATCGCCTTTGAGGCCTTTGACAAATGCCAAATACATTGAATAGTAATTACAGAAAAATGTGTAATGAAAATTGCGGACTTGAACGATCGGTTGGCAAAAACTGAACTTGTGCACCACACTGTGCCCGCGTCAGGTGCCAAAAACAGCTGCCTGTGGCTCAAATCATTGATGAAATGATTCTCATTGTTGCTCCGACACCTAGGATGGCCAGATTTCAAGCTGCACGGCCCAAGCTACATTAGTAGCTTCTCGTTTTCCGGGATGTGGGCCAGCTCAAAGAATAGCATCTGCAAATATTCGTCTCCCCTGCTGGGGCCACACTGGAATCAAACCTCATGCCAAGGTCCGATCTTCCCAACCCCCCCCACCCTGGAATGCCATATGCTACTAACTCCAGACTTCACTGCTGAACCCAAATATAGTATTAAATGTTGAAAACTTTATCGAGTGCAATTCTTCTGTACCAGTGACAATGAGGCCGTGCATAGCACGGAGCCCTGCACTCGGAGCTCTTGCCATGCACCTCGCAGAAATGTGCCAGTCATATGAAAGGGAGCACAGATTACCAGCAACAAGGCCCGAACCCAGAGAGGGCCGACCATACAAAACAACGCCATCTTCGCAGGTGCAGTTCCCTCCTTCTTTGGCACACTCGAAGAAGCCTCAAGAGTAGGTCAGATATGGTCGACAACCCCGATAGTTGGTGTGCCCCTGATATAGAAACTCAGAAAGGCACTGTTCAGACTATTCTTCTCTCCGTCATTGAACACCTGCAAATTCCGATCAGCTATGCAACAATATGCAACATGGTATTGCGTCACAACATCCTCAACTAAACACAGGGCCTCATCGTCTACGGTGGACCTAGGAAACAGGCCCAATACACTTGTAGGACTTTCTGGCTCCAAACGCATGATTCTTTCATCCATGGCGATCGAAAAGACCACGAGAAGCGAGAAGCGATGATCACTACGACTACGAACGGATCCCATTTGCGGCTCTGGGCGCCGTGCTTGTGGGACTTCACTGTTGCCAGTTGCTCCTGAGCTTTCTGACACCGTGGCAGACAAGAATGTCGCATGAAATCATATTGTAAAGCCCAGCAGTCAGCACACAGGGCAAACGTGAATTGTCCTCCTGGTTATCTTCGACTCGCATCAACCTACAAGTGTGCCAAGACCTCTCACAATTTATGGCCTTTGCACTCTGCACTTTCAATTTTCACCTCCTTACACCTCCTTACAGTTTTTTGTGCCATCAAGGGAATTGGAGTTGGTAAGTAGTAATTTGATGAGATTGCGAAACTGATCCAAAGTGTGTCTTTGTGGCCGAACTTGGCGTCTCCCCCAATTGTCATAAACATCATAAGCGATGAAATTCCTTTCTGCATGTCACATACCCGGATTACCACATAGCAAAAGGATGACAGTAAATCCAAGCATATCCAAGCACGAAAAACCCTGAGCTGGGCAGAACCACATCGAGCCTGTCAATCCTGCCATCCGCATGCACCTAGACACAGTGTCTGACACAAGACTGCGAGCTCTCGGTCGATAACCAAAGTGACAATCATTCAACATTCGACTCTAAACAATTAGTAACAAGAAGCTACTAGGAACAAGTGCATCGCTACTAGTAACAAGTGCCTTACTAGTAACTAGTAGAAACAAGAAGCTATTAGTAACAAGTGCCTTCTAGAGGTGTTCTCGGTCACTTGTCGGGCATTCGAACGACCGGCAATCACATCTTCACTACTTCGGTTTTGACCAGTGTTTCACCAGGTTCAATGACCACGCCCCGACGATCACCGTGACGGACCTTAAAGTAGTGTTCAGCCAGAATTCTTGTAACATCTTGTAACGCCTCCAGTGTACATAAATGTTGTAATTCTGCTTTTTGACCAACAGTTCGTTTCCCACTCTGCACGCGGCACATCGAAGCATGCCAAAACAAAACCGATGCCATGCTTCGAAACGCAGCGTTCGATGCCATGCCTCCGCGCTGTAGGCGTTGGCGAAGCCGAGTTGTTGGCCTCGGCCCAGTGGATCCACTCGACTCGCTTCGGCTCGACGGAATCCACTCGGCCAGCCACCGAGCAGTATCGACACCTCAGCGATGTCGACCCCCCAAAAGGGGGGACTGCGATGTCGACAACAGGACTGCCATGTATGCCATGTGAACTGCCATGTGATATTCAGCGTGGTTTCATGATCATAGCATGTTTTATTGTGTTATGTAAGATATGTAATTATATATATATACAATATGTATATATAGTACGAACATGTATGAAAGAATGCATCATAATATAACAGGCAATGAAGCAATTCCGTGCAAGTGCTTCAATAGTCTTCCAGGTGAAGAAATGAAATTGGGTCTGCCACAAAGAACAAGGAAGGTGGACATGGAACTGGCGGACTTGATGGCACTTGGGGTTGCGATCTGAACTGTGCCCATGGCCACCGTCTTCATGACGTCAATGAGGGCAAAATCATGAACCCTGGGTGCTTTCGACAACCCGAAGACTTCTCTGAATGCATCAGAATTCAAGAAGCACAAGGCACATGCAAAACAAGGAACACCAACACAAGCCTGCCTCTGAAGAAGTTTCAGTGCCGCTGTATGTATCAAATAACTTCATCAAGCCACTTGGCTTCAGGCCATCAAGCCAAATATTGGAAATAATGTACCACAAAAACTCCTGAATACTCTGACCTTGAGACCCTCTCTGTTTAAAGAAAAACTGTGGCAGTAGACAACTAGACCATACCATACTGTGTTCAAAGCTAGTCAGCTAGTAAACTGCCCGGCAGAGGGAAGGGAACATTCTGACGATTCGATCTTTTGCTGCGTTCTGAGTTCTGGCATCAGCATAGGTCAGGTGCTTTTACACCATTTGTTGGTCCAGTTTTTGGCCATGATGCCCGCTCGTTAGAACCACGAGGACTCATTCTCCTCAGCACCTTCCTCCACCTTTCAAAGTACACTGGCAAACCATAATTGATAAGCCCTTCTCTCCAACCTTGCAAAGAGCTGCGTCTTCATCCCCTTCATGCGCGATGTCACCCATCTGGCATCCCAAGAGAGTCTTAGATGGGCAGGGCAGCAAAAAAGGAAAACAAATGGACAGCTTCACCGCCATACCGTCCTCGCATGTTGACCTGTACATGTCATCTAGCACATGTCAGAGCATGTCTGAGCTCTGGTTCGGCCTTTGACATTACCACCTTAGACCTTGGTCTTCCTCGCTTCGATCTTGCAATCTGTGCTGTACATTGAGCCACAAGTGTCATAAACGGATGTGCATTAGAACATGAAAAACCCCTCAAAGACCTCTGGAGAAAAGAAAATAAATCCATTGATTGGGAGGTCCCCCTTTTCAACAATTGCACACCCAAATGGAGCCAAGACACCGTCCCCTCTCCGAGGGCTTGGAGACATCGGCCGTAGGCTTTCAAGACACGTGCAGCATCAGTACGGCCTCATCGTTCGCCGTTCGCGGCAAGCGGTCGTCAAGGCCAATGAGCCAATGCTCCGTCCGTAGCGATGCCAGGAGCCCCGTTCGTAGCCTCTTTGCTCCTACTAGTAAGGCCAGGAGCCCGGATCTTGGCTTCTTGTTCCTAGTGGACATAAAGTTTGAGCCCCAGAGACTCCATTGGATCCAGCCACCCTCATTCCCTACTTTCGTCGCACAAGTCAGAAGAAAGCCAAACATCCCTGGATCCTACCAATTCGTGGAAGCTGTGTGCGCAAGCGCATGCTGCTTCCAGGTTTCGGTGGCACGCCTAGTCCCTCTGTCTATCGTCATCAAACGGTGCAAGTCAAACCTGGATGTTGTTAATCCTTGCCGTTCGTTTGCAAGTCTGTGCGGATAGCATTAACATGCATTAACACAGCCAATTGTCACAGTGGTGTAAAGTGGGCACGGCAACCCTTTGCATGTTTCATGCACGCTGGTGGCATAAAGCCCACGCAGGAGAATCGTTGCTTGAAAGTGCTTGCCCGTTCAAAAGCTGTGGAACAATCAAAGGCATCCGCAAACCAAGCTTGCTGGTTCTAATTCTGATTGAGAAGTCCGATTCATTTTCCTGTGGCACAATACAGTCAAGGTGCCCACTGCCTTGTTCTCCTGTCAATACATGTGAACAAGGAACTTGCGCTCCACCCATTTCGCTTGGATGGTTCAGTTCGCGACAAGCAGTGCGGCCAGTCCTTTCGACCAAGTCTGCGCAGCAAAATGGAGGCAAAGTCATGGCATGTGTCCTGAAGTCAGGCAGCAAATGAAAGCAATGAAGAAGGTGACTATGACTATAAAGCTTGAAGCTCTGGATCATCCTGGATCCATGACGTCCATGACCTGCACTCCACATTAACATGAGTTTAAACTGGCAAGCCCCCAAGCTCCTGCTTCGAGTCCGCTGCCGCGCCTTTTGCCGTTCAGCTAAGAACTGGCTTCAGGCCTCCATGGCGTGCCTACGCCGTGCCTGAAAGATTCCAGCCTATACGGCCGTCGGAACATACACCAATTGAGCCAAGCCGTGAGATTCACACGGATCAAAATTCTCTGTTGGCTCAAATTGGATCTGCCTCTGGCTATGGTGACCTAGGGAACCTGGATTTGGGCTTCGCTGCGGCACGATGTCCTTGGGACATGCCTGATGCAAGCGACCAATCCTCGTCATCTGTGGCCAAATGGTACTGTTCAGTCAGGCCACTGAGTTCCATCACCAGCTCCAGCTCTGCGCCGAATTCGCGAAGCATCATTTGGAGATACTTCTGCCTCCATCCCAGATATCCATGAAACTTCCGGGCGCCCTCGTGGCAGAGTTCAGCCACTGCGGCACAAAATTCGGCATCTGTCGGGGTCATTGCCCTCACCAATGACGGCTCGTATCCCTTCTCTGAGGTCGGCTGGCCCTCCTCAGTCTTCTCTTCAAAATAGCTGGATCGAACCCCTTCGTGCAACACGGTGCGGAAGGCCTCACCCCACTCGCCGGTCCCCTCCGGCATCGGTGACACCTTGTTTTCCTTGAGCAGGTCCTTGTAATGCATGAGCACGGCTTCCACGGTGGTCTCGGCACGGTCGAGGTAGGCCGCTCCAGTCTGTAGCTGGAGCATTTGAGTGTTCACCGTGTAGGTCATCGTGAGCACTCCTTTCTCTCCCCTGAATTG